GGTGTATACACTTTAAATGTGTCTAAAGTACAATAACCTAAAATCCTCTGAACCTCGGTTGAACTGAAGGTTACTTCATTAAAAAAACTATAGTGACACAGAAGACACAGTATCCATGGTAAGTAAAGTCACTTTAAACTAACTGGTGTCCTTAGGGTGTACCTAACAATAATATCACTATCCCTCTGATATTGTATCTTATCAATAGAAGTGAATGCCACAGGCCTGGGCGTCTATCTCCTGCTTTTAATCCTGCTCATATCAATGGGGCTAAATGATTGTAATTCGGAACTAGATAGGGTTTACGTTTCATATTATAGAATACACATTGTCGGTTGGCAGGTTGCGCCCTATACCATCAACAATATTCTGGTATGCTAGTGTTTATGCAAGGTTTAAAGACATAAGCTGATTCAACACATAAAAAAAGGATCAAGATCCATCTTGATTTAACCTTCTTGAGCTCAATAACACACTCTGAATCATCTATTAGTCAAAATAACCATGTGATCAGGTAGCCAAAGAACAGGAGGAACACACAGAGATAAAGAATCTCCAATCCTGATGTCCAGTTTTTCTCGTCTGCGCAGAATTTGTGTCAGTCATTGTCCTGAGGCCGTCTTCAGCCTCTGACATGTTCAATGTGCTGAATAAGAAACCTGACCTGGCTGGTGGCCACACACTCCAGGACAGAGCGTGAGAAAAGAGATTACACATAACAAGAGAACGAACACTGTCACAACGCATTTGGGAAACTCATTTAGACATCTTTATATGTGATGCAAATATTTTCAGACGTGAGCAAGCTGATCCTGTTGTCCCGTAAAAAGAATTCAGGGGATGCATGATTGAATAATTCAATTCCTCTCACATGACAAGCTGCAATCTGTTATAGGCTGTATGAATAGGTGCACTTTTCTGCTTTCAGCCTTTAGGTAGGCTACTACACTTTAATGTGGTACATGTTATCATTTGGTATATGGACTCACTGAGTAATGTCACAGTAGCTTTTTGTGATTAAAAAAAAGATGTTGAAACTTTTTTTCAGACCATATTTTGGCATATATTAAAACAAATGGATATAAGGTAAACAATGAAAAACAGAAACTTTTTTTGTAAATAACCTAAATGCTAAGCCACTGCATGGACAGGTCGACTATCCCAGAAAGAAGTGAAAACAGGATTTAGATAAATAGCCCACACATTATCAGCACTCTAACATATCCTTCAGGAACAATGACTCTACTGCTTTCACCGGGGAGTGAAACTCCAGCACACAGTCAAATACAGCCAGTAAATGCATCAAAGCAATAATAAAACAGACTGCAAGACCACAACATGGACAAAGAGTCAGGAACAGTGAGGCATTGAACTCACCACGTTGTTTTTACGGTTTACCTATGAACGCACTAACATTTGATAGTTTATAGTCGAAGTCAACTTGTGCAAAATTGAAAAACCATCATAATATCAAAGCGCAGTTGTTGATGTAAAACTATTTTACGCAGATTTTGTCAGCTGAAGATGAATCATTACCTGCTGTCGTCTCTTCTCAGCCCTCGGTGCGATCCGTAGAGAACTCAAATCGCGCAACTTTCTATATAAGTTGTTTTTCTGTTTGGTTATTTGCTTAATAAGCACCTTTCGCACCCTTATTCCGCATTACGGTTTGCTCCAGCTTTCTCCGTCCCTTCTCTTCAGTCTGTTGGCAGTTTGTTTGCAGGTGTCGCAGAGTTGTGTGAGGCTGTCCTGTGGTCCCGCCCCCCCCACACACACCGGGCTGCAGGACTGAAGTCTGTCAGGGGGCACAAACGTTCCTATAAGCGTTATATGTGTTTATTTGTGTCCCCTTACATGCTATGTCTACTATATAGACTGAGTTTAAAGCGACATTTCATACTTTATTATGATATGTTTATCATGCTGTGCACGGGTCAGTTGTAATTTCAATTTCCTCCAATCAGAGATGAGTTTGAGTGACGTCACTTTCACCTATGTTCATTTGTTCGCCCTCTGTACTGGATCGGATCCTACACAAATACTGTCACTTTTTTTGCAGTTGTGGAAATGTACTAGGTGAACTACATTTACTCAAGCATTGAAAAATTAAAAATAGGTTCTTATTTCGTATATTTATATTTCATACAAGGTAAAGCCTACAGTACATACTTTCTTACTAGGACTGATTTGACCAGTAGTTTGTGTTTGTGGTGGTTAGCATTAGCATTTACATATAGGCTACCTTTTTACTGATTGAATCACTTAAATGTAAATGTCACTGTGGTACTAAGCAGGGAAATTGAGAAGCATTAATCACATTCATCACCAATTATTCTGGGATTATTGTAACCTATAAAATATACAATAGATCTGAGACTATAGATATGTGTCATCATAACTGAAAGTGCTTAATTGAGTAAAGTTTAAAGAGTAGAGTAGAAGAATACCCTGTTTCATATCTGCTCACTTTGCATGACAGTTACTCCTTGTGCTCTTATGTTGGATGGAAATCTCAGAGCAGGTCTCTTTTGGATTGTAATCACAAACAGATATATGACAGCAACAGGAAGAGAGGGGAAGACTTTCCCACCCTTCCTGCTCTCAGATTTATCCCACTGATTTATAATGAGCAACAGATTAAATGTGTAAAATGAGGTCACAGCTGACAACAGTGCTGCCTTACTTTAAGCACAGTCAGCAGTGTGAGATAATTTGACTGTTCCCCCCGCACAGTGTTGTCTTGTTTAATTGGGAGATGAGAGGATTATAGGCCATTTGGGACTGGATCACATCTCTTCATACTTGTAGCACAGCAAGTGACTGGGCTGCCATCTGTTGGCAAAAATAGATCAGCAAATAAAATGTGAATTAAGTAACAATACTGCCATCATGTGGAGGTCTTCCTGATAACATACATAATCTTAAATGTCACTAATGTGACATTTATGTCTTTAAATAAAATACAATATGCACCACAAATTGATGTTCAGAGATGTGAAACATGATCTGGTGTATGTTCTGCTCATCTGGTTTGCAGTGCATGTGATCCAGGTGTCCTGTAGATGGCAGGAGCAGAACACATTGAAATTAATCTCATGATGTCATAAGAAAGCAGCTGAGATCAGAGTTGCATGTGATCTTGGTCTTGAAACCAACGTCCTCATTGCAACTGCAGCTTTGTATTGCCCTTGGTGTCATCACAGCAGTATGCATGGACCCTCATCATTAGGAGACTCAAAGGACAATCAAGTAAACAGTAATAACAAGAGGCAGCAGGGCAACCATATGTATCTATTTTTCCCAGTGCCTGGTGCTGTAATCCCAAGAAAACTGCAATTAGACTGTTTCAATCAGCCCCCTAAAAAGACATTCCACACACAGTCCAATAATAACATCTTAGGGATTGCTGTTTGGTAATTTTACTTGAACAAACACACAAACTGAGCCTCCAAAGCTCTGTTTGACCTCTCAAACACACTAATCATAACAATTCAGACCCTAATTAGAGAGTGAATGATTTTAATTTTGCAACACATACCTAGCATGCAAAGCATGTGTTTCTGAATTTGTCTCTGTTCTTTACTGAAGGAAGATTTCCTTCTTACAGAATTGCCCAATTTCTGTGTTTTTATTTAAAAGTAGGGAAAACAGAGAAGTGACTTGCTAATGTGAACCTCACATAGTAAGTCCAAGATCACTTGAGTTTAACAACATTTACAACATTAACCTCACTTGGGAAAATTGCTGATATAAAGCATCACACAGGAAAGCTATACATACCAAGCAATAATTAAACTTTATATTTAGAACCAATGAATGGGATAAATACTCCAGGGGCTTGAACTTGTTTAGACTGCAATCCTCATCACCAATATACCGTTTTGTAGGCCCAAGACAATCACATACAAATGAAAAAGAAAGAAAGTTATATTTGAATGGATGGATAGGTGGATGGATATAGTTTACACAGAGTGACTGAAGCATGGCAACCCCCTGATCTCCTCACTTCTGACTGCACAACAATAACAACAAAAGGCTAATCCTGTGTTTATGCCTTTCAATGGGGGGATTTGACAGATTATGTGGAAATGTTTGCTGTAACCTCTTAATCAGATTAACATTTCAGGGCTTTGGGTAAAGAACCTCTGCTGGAAGGAACTTGTAATTCTCCATCATTCATTTGGTAAACTGTTCTAAAATAATATTGAACAAGCTCCAAATTGTTCTGCTTTGTTGAAAATGTATTATATAAGCCCTTTCTCCAGAATAAGGTGACCATGAGGGATCTCAGGCCACTAGTTTATTTTAACAAGATAAATGGGACTTTTTACATAGTTGGTCTGCTAGATAAGACTCATAAATACACGATCAAATTCAATAATTAAATCAAGCTATTTAAATAAGTTCAGGTCCCACAATATTTGTCGACATTTCCAAATCATAAGTAATTTAAACTTTATTTTTGTTAAAATGTTTATCATCCTGATCATCTTCCTCCATAGGTTAAAATGCAGTTATATGGCCAAAAAGGTAAAGTAACTAAATAATACACATACTATTCAAAGACTATTTGTCTTGATAAAAATGTTTGTCCACCACCTACCTACTTTTTACACCTTATATTCTTATCTAATCCACCGCATAGGCTGCTCCTGATCACTGTGAATGAAGAAAAAGCTTCTCACTCAGAAAGTGACACACAAGAATATACAAGAAAGAGAAGTCGTTTTGTGTACTCTACCTTCGTTCGTGTAATATCAGACACTAAACCTAGTGTAGTGTTTTGACAATTTTGAGATTATTTGTCTATCTAATCCCTACCATTATTTAAAGTTTGCTCCCAATGTTAAAGCACATGATACGATAAACAAGCGGCCTTGGTGAATCTGAAAAAAAGTGTCTTCTTTCTCAGCAAAAGCCTACTTTCTATCTGAGGGCTACACAGCTCAACGGAACTAAAGACAGGGAGGCCAATAGTGGATGCACACGGTAGTGGACGACCAATTGCGCATGCGTGATAATATCAAAACACCGAATAAAGAGGGATGCTGCATGAGGATATTTCAATAAAAACAATGCCTGGTGGAGTAAGACATTTATGAATTACAAAATAATAACGTTATTTAATTTCGTTTAATGTGTGTTCATGTTCATATTTGTTTGCCATAGCTCGTTAAAAGTTATTAACTGAAAGCAACGATAACAACAGCTAGTATGCTAACTGATAGCTAACAGTCAGTTATTAGGTTTTTCACATGCAATTTCAGGTAAAAAAGGATATGTTTTAATGTAATGTGACTAATTGTGTCTTCTAATATATATTATGTTCTGGTTTCAGGCCTGCAGTGTCTACAGTATAATCTCAGTGTGACAGCTCGCTGAATGGACAACGTTAACATGTCAGCCTCTGGGGGGACAGCGGAGGACATGGAGGGGATCTGTGTCATGCCGGATTTGAGCAACATCAAGACGGAGCAGTCGGTGGGTCCAAGCCCAGTTAACACAGGCCCCCAAAATGTGGCCATGGGCATCAAGTTCATCCTGCCCAACCGCTTTGACATGAATGTCTGCTCAAGATTTGTGAAGTCGCTCAACGAGGAGGACAGCAAGAACATCCAGGACCAGGTCAACTCTGATCTGGAGGTGGCTTCTGTTTTATTCAAAGGTAAGACTCAATTTTATGAATCTTGTGATAATGCCTAATGTATGAGCAGAGGTGGGAGAAGTACTCAGATCTTGTAGTAAAAGTAGAAGCACCAGTGTTAGCATACTCTCTTACAAGTAAAAGTCCTGCAATCCTAATGTTTCTCAAGTAAAAGTACACAAGTATTGTATCTACTTAAAGTAACAAAAGAAAAAGTTATCATTCTGCAGATTGGTCCATTTCAGAATAATATGATATGTTTTATAATGATTGATCATGAAAGTGTTCTCAAAGCTGGTAAAGGTGCAGCTAGTTTGAATGACTTTGTATACTGCAGGGTAGCTTGTGAATTTACTCCAGGTGGAACTAAAGTCTGATTTAAGAGTTGGTTGTATTTCACATCATTCATCTGTAAAGTAACTAAAGGTATTAAATAAATGTAATGGAGTTAAAGTACACGATCTACCTCTGAATTGTAGTGGAGCAGAAGTACAAAGTAGCAAAAAAATGAAATACTCAAGTAAAGTACAAGTATCTTACAATTGTACAATTGTACTTAGTTACTTTACACCACTGTGTACGAGGCTTTAACTAACCAAAGAATGTTTCTCCTCTTTCAGCTGAGTGCAACATCCAGACCTCACCTTCCCCGGGTATACAAGTGCGCCATGTGTACACCCCCTCCACCACCAAGCATTTCTCCCCCATCAAACAGTCCACCACACTCACCAACAAACACAGAGGCAATGAGGTTTCTTCCACACCTCTTTTGGTGCATTGTAAGTAGTACAGTTGTGTTAACTACATTTAACATGAATTAAGTCAAACATGTTAATACATTTAAAACAAATCCTCCCAGCTTTGTCCATTCATCAGCTTGCAGCCCAGGGTGAGATGGTGTTTCTGGCCAGCAGGATTGAACAAGGTAAGCAGCCAATATGGGTTGTCATGCTGGTGAAATGATCTTAAACTATACTCATCATTTTTTATCTTCTTTAGGGCTTTTTAAGTGATTAAGAACATAGTGGAAAAAATGTCACTATAATCTCCCAGAGCAATATCTTTGAACATCTTGTGTCAGACAAACATCTTGTGTCAGACGAACAATCCCAAAACAAAAGATATACATTTAATAATCAAATATTAAGAAAAACAGTGTAGGTCATTTTAATATTTACGATGCAGGAACCAGAACATAATTGGCATTCCCTTCATCTTACATTTTTTTGTTCTAAGTCACTGCTGCCAAGGTATAGTGGGTTAGATTATGAAAATATTCATGTAATCACTTTTCTTTTTATGTTTCATTTGAATAGAGACTGTGATCAATCACCAAGATGAAGAAGGCTTTACCCCCCTGATGTGGGCCGCTGCACATGGACAGATCGCTGTTGTTGAGTTTCTGCTCCAAAATGTACGGAAACCTACTCGCATGATTGAATTATATCAGATATATACAGCTTGCTTTATTGTTCCTATGTTATTGACTCACTGGCCTGTATCCGTCTACGCTGTAGGCTGCTGATCCCAACCTCCTGGCCAAAGGCAGGGAGAGTGCCCTGTCCCTGGCCTGCAGTAAGGGGTACACTGATATTGTGAAGATGCTCATTGACTGTGGGGTTGATGTCAATGAATATGACTGGGTAAGAATACTAAGCTATACTATGAAAATGAACGCTGGGGGTTGCTGTTACCTGTGGCTTGTTGTGATGTTCTCTCTGTGGCTTTCAGAATGGAGGAGCCCCTCTGCTGTACGCTGTTCACGGGAACCATGTGCGCTGTGTTGAAATCTTGTTAGGTGAGTATGCACTGTTTACTGAAAGTTACACCTATGATCAATATCATAGATGTAACTTATCCAGCTCCATTAATAGACTATACGTGACAAACATATCCTGTTTTTATGCCTCACTTGTCCGATAATAACGTTTTGGAATGTTTTATATCTTACAGAGAGCGGTGCTGATCCTACCATTGAGTCGGACTCTGGATTCAATGCAATGGACATGGCTGTTGCTATGGGCCACCGGAATGGTATGTTAACCCCGAAGCGTGACACACTGATTTAACACTAAGTCAAATTGGTTTTTCTCTGCTGCTTCTTCATAAAGTCACCTTTTAGTATACACTTGAAATGACACTCGGCTCCGTCGATAAAAAAATGTTATGTTTCTCTGTTTAGTTCAGCAGGTGATGGAGGCCCACTTACTGAAGTTACTGATGGGAATCAGAGAATGAAATGTGACAGTAAGGAAAACAAATGCTGAAGGGAGGACGCTGGGCTCTGGACAATCATGGAGCACGCCCGGCTGTCCGTTAACAGGAATGTTTTGTGCATTCAGTGGACATGAAAGTCTGTGCTGTGTGGAGTTATTCACATCAACCCAGCATGCACTACACTCCATTTTTAGTATCCTTTACCCTGCCAAATGTGCAGTGTAGGTTTGATTTTGCTTTAAGTAAGCATGATTGTTTTGTTTTGAGTCTTTTAATATCAGATATGACATTATCATCCAAGAAGTGTTTTTTTAAACTAACTTATTAACCGTAATAAGGAACAGTTTTGAAAAGAAATTAATGTTACATGTTGAATTGCCTCATGTTCATACCGTCTTCATTGTGAGCACATTTCTAAAGGTTCATTTTGCTCCTCTAAGGACTACAGTGGGTGTATCAAAAATACATTATAACATACTAGTTGTACGTTTATGATGCAGCCAAGCTGTTCGTTGATCCTAAAGATATTTGAGTTGGTTGCCCTGAGTTTATTTATTTAATAATTTAGACGTGTTTTGATGTGAAAACGTCATCGTATTGCTGTAAGTCTCTTGTTTTTGTATAATGTGATTCTAATGTCTGCTGTGTTGTGATTTTAAAAAAAAAACTCACCTTGGTAAAACGTCCCACAATAATGTTATTGTGTTGCTGCTTCAGTTTTATACCAGACATAAATGGTTTAAAAAGAAACAAGTTGTACTGCCCTCAGTGTCCTCCATCATTCTGTACTGATATCAAATCGGATTTAGAGTCTAAACAGTGGTTTGAGCCTTTAGAGTCTAAAGGCTCAAACCACTGTTTAGTCACTGAAATGAAGCTGTTATTTAATCCAAATATGTTTTAACCCTTAGATGCATAAGTGGGTCTTTTTTGACCCGGTGAGGTTTTCTTAGTAATTACATTTTTGTATCATTTGATATTCCAGCTATTCTTCAAAAAACATGTTTTGGATACATTTTAAGAAATTGTAGTTTTTGTATTACTACCCCAAGCTTCCTTACATTTTCAAAATGTAAAAAAAAATTCTAAAATTCTAAATAGTGAAAACTTAAATATAAAATATTTCTAGTGTGAACCAAAATATAATACTAAATATTATACAAGTGATTTTTCTTAACCAAAATGACAAATGGCATAAAAACACATTATTCTAATGCGGGTCCTTTTTGACCCACTTATGGAAGAGTGTAGGGTCCAGTCATTAGTCAAAAACACTTATTTAGTAGTTGAGTTCTGTATCTAGGAGCAAGGTATATACACTGATTTCAACACTTTGATAATACAGTTAAAAGTGCCTTATAACATGTAAAGGAAAAAAAAATTATCTTAATATGTACGTGCCAAAACAATTTTTTATATACAAAGAATTATAGTGTGAGAAAGAAATGTTATCATATAGGTAAGATCTATACACAGAAATATTTTTAAATCTTATTTCAAAAGTACCTCAGTAAGTTTCTCATTAGCCGCGTTCACACCAAGTACTTTGCCGTACTTAGTGCCGGCACTTATTACCCCAGGGCACTTAGTACAGAACGCGTTCACACCGGAATAAGTTCCCTGAGGGAAGATTACGCAAATGAGCCACTGACGTCACTTCGCCTTCTTCTGCTTTGGGTTTACTGGCAGGCCGCAAACCACTTCACGGCGTATACTGCCACCCGGAGTCCCCGGCCGGAAGTCCCCGGAGTTGGGGACTGGCTTCTCTTCCGAGTAAATCGCCAGAACGCCGACACCTCATCTCCACCGCTCCCATGTTTTATTTTGTGTTGCCATAAGTTAGTCTCTCTGCATTTGTGCACTGGGCGAATGCTAATAATGCTAATGCAAGGATAATAAAATGGCGGCTCTACAAAACATTTCAGAGTTGTACGGGGCGTGGTTTGCAATTCGCCCAGCCAATCAGAACTGGGGCACTTTTTTCCCCCAGGAAAGTACCATCTCTCAGCAGGCACTAAAAATGGGGGTAAAAGATCCCGGCTTGAAGTACTCTTTTTGGTGTGAACGTGACATAAGGGGTACTAACGGAACTAAACGCGAAAAGTACTCCGGTGTGAACGCGGCTAATGTACTCATTTAAAATAGAGTTATATAATAATGGCTGAACAATTTACAAGAGGGCAACTTTAGTTTTTCAACTGTTTAAGTGTTACTTAATGTGAGAGAAAATGCAGACGTTTCTTTTGACAGTAGCACATGTTTATTCCAGATATGTTGGTTTCAGCGAGGCCACAAAGATCAAGGTTCATTAAGAGAGGAAAAAGATGTACAGCAGGAGCCTTAAACACAACATTTTACACACAATCTCTCACTAACTAGACCACAGAGCACAACAAGCATCTGGAGAGTCTGATGGAAAAGAAGAAGTGGAATGAGGACTAAAATGCCTTAACGCTTTAATACTGCTACCCACCCCGGTTTTAATACTTAAGAGTACTATTTAGAAAAATGACTCAAAAATATTGCACTTCAGAGTAGGCAAGTACTTTGTTCAGGTGTTACATTTTAGAGAATGCTAAAAGTTGACAGAACTGTAACTGTTAGCCTTCCACTTTAATAGAGACAACAAAAAAAACACCTTGAGCCTCACATGGTCCTGTCAAGTTCTGACACTTCAGAGTCCCGTTTCCTCTAGTTAGCTTCATCCTTGGATGCTTCATCAAAATTCTCCACCAGGTCTGAAAAGACACAAATTCAGAGGTAAATAGATTCACAAAGACTCAAAGGTACCAGAGCACAGTTCAGGTGTTTATCTGAAATGTGATACTAGGTGCAATGAAATCCAATTTTCTTTTGCCTGATCTTTCCCCTCTCTTAAATCGACCGCAATGTGCTGCACAGATGAGGCCCTTACAACTTCTGAAAGCAGCTGTAAAAATGATGGCGTAAATCATCAAAAGGTTGGCTTCAATTACTCCACGAGAAGTGAGAAATCTGCCTTTTCAACGTTTTGGCTCAAAGGGTCGAGGGTTCAAATGGAAACAATTCAAAAGGTCTGAGTAAACATGTTCCTTCAGTGGGAGAACAAAGAGGAAACGTAACTCCAATAACAACATGATGGTGATGGCTGTTAACCCTGTGCCATCAGGCCCCGACGGCTCCTATTGCTGAATACATGTGTAATCGTTTGTTACATTAGTGAGAGCCCAGGCTACAGGGAGAGGAGTCCTGGGAAAAGCTGAGATTTTAGTAATGGCAACCTCATGTGTTTGGCCTATTGTCCTCACAAAGAAAAGCAAACTGGATCTTGAGATCTTATAAACAATGAACATGAGATTCAAACATTGCACCATTAATCTGAAGTCATTGATGAATTCCCTTCATTTGACCCCCTTCACAAGCCAAATGAAAACAAACGGACCATGGTTATTTAACCGAGAGAAAGGAAAACAGTGTTTCCCCATTATGGACAAGTGGGAAGGAGTATCTCCATAAAAAGACTGCAAAGGAGTTTGATGTAAGAGGACCACATTTGACTTGAGACGTGTTGAAGACATCTTTAACGTTGCATGGTGGAACTGACTACGGTACATAGACAGATGAGTGTAATGAGACATTGAAGCACTCACCTGGAACATCATCATCTTCATCCTCTTCTTCTACTGTTGCAATTGGCGCTCTTCCATCTGAAGCTGCAAGAACAGAAAATACCTGTTAGAAGCTTGAAGAGCAGTTTAAACGGCCACAAAACAATCATGACTGAATCCAAAAGGAAAGAATCTCTTTAACCCTGCGAGACCCGCGTTAAGACCTTTCTTTATTTGTATACCTTTATGTTTCTCCGTAGAAATGGTCATTTTAGCAGTACATTCCCAGAATCATCAACACTCCTCTGAAAGTGTGTATAAACAGTTTGGATCCGTGTGTGACATCCAATGGAGCAAATAGGAGTGTTCGATTCAGAAAAGGTCGCTAACAAAAATGTATGTTTTACATACAGATAGACTAAGCAAATCCAACATGCAAATAGGGTGAGTCTTCACATCTTTTACAACTCAATTGTTTTATACACATAACTAAATGGCTTTTATGGAACAAAGGGGGTTTGAAAAAAGGGTCGTTTAGCAGTGTTCACTAGTTTAAGAGGGAAAAAAGGCATGCCACTAGCTTAAACCATTGCAAAGTTATGACAGTTTAAAGAGGGCATGGTTTTTGGACTTGTATATGGCCCAGTGAGTCCCAGATGGTTAAACGAGTTTGAATGAAATTACACCACAGTTCCTAATCTTGCATCACCTGTACAGGTTTTAGTATAGTAGGTTACTGACCCTGTTTGGGCAGAGCCTCGGCGAGTCTCCGGAGGCTCGTCAGGCTGTCGGCTCCCAGCTGGTTCAGGATGCCCGGCAGCATCTCCGTCAGCTGCTTGGTCTCAGCGTGGCCCGTGATGGTGAAGGTGTTGGCTGCCAGGGAGGCCTGCACTTTGGGATTGTTGAAGTGGATGACTGTTCCTTGATTTGTAAACATGTTAACCTGTAATGGACCAAAGAGTTACACTGTTAAAAACAAAACAGGCAGCCCTGAAACAGTCATCTTAAATCACAGTGGGACGAAAAGTCATGCTTACCTCCTCAATCCCAGAAATGTTGTTGACACCAAGTTTCTTCAAGGAGAACTGAAGCTTCTTGTCATCTGCGGTGGCCGTTCTGTGTACAACCTTCTTCTTTCTGCGAGCACTGCCCTGTGGGGACATTCATACAAACATATTATGAATATGTATAAGTAAACCTCCAAGCATCATTTATGTTTCAATAGGTTTTAGGCTGCATTTGTAATAGTTTTGGCACCAAGCTTAAAGTAAGCATGACTGAACACATTAGGAAACAGCAGACAGTGCTTTGCACAAAATGTATTACTTCATGGAACCTATGATATTTGAGTTTCACTTACCTTGCCGCCGATGCGGACTTGTGCCTGTAGTTTAGCTAGTTTTTCTTGATTCATAATTGATTCTTTCATCTGAAAAAGAAGAAAATAAATAACATTAGTTTATTTAGGTGTATCTGTATACTCACAGCCTCTATGTTTAACACACTTTTAAAACGCACTTTGGATGTTTGATGATTCACATAAGTATTACCGACACATTTAATATTTTGTAAATATTACATCATGGTCAAGAAAGATAACCGTGTAAGGGGTAAAAGATGAAAATATGTCAAAAAAGCAGCCATCAAGACACAACGCAAACCATACAAGTACAGGCTGTAACAATGTCAGACAGCAAAGCAATGGAAATGAGACTTCTCTACCACAATGACACTTTGACTGGTGTTGCAATAAATAATTGCCAAAGGGAGATTGCACAACATTACAAAGAAATGTGACTTTCCTATTGGACGTTTTTGACAAACACTCATGCACATTAACAAAGAAGAGCATGTACATATAACCATGTATTTAGGTCTCACCGTCATGATCATATTGCTACAGCGAATGTCGGCCTACTAAATTATAATATTACTGTATCGTGTTCATAACACCCGTGCAAAACAGTCATGCTAAACATGAAAAGAGTAAATCACATGTATTTAAAACATAAATACTACAAATGAAAAAACGTTATGAGCTCTCACGAAAGCTAATGCTTCCCCTTCCATGTTGTCTGTATTATGGACAACAAGCTAAGACAGCCCCATAACAAAACACTGCGTTAGGCTAAGAAATAAGCCAAAAACACCACAGGTAAAGACAATTACGTTTAAGCTAACACTAGATGACTAATTCAGCAAATACTGCCCCGAAACAAGGTGTGGTTTAGCTTTAATGCGAGAACTTGTAGGCTAACTGTAGCTAGCTTCTGAGCTAGCTGTGAGCCTGTTGAGTGGACGGCCTGTCACACAAACTGCGTCAGTAACGTTAGCCCGGAGGATTTCAGCCATCTAGTCAGAAAAGGCTTTCGTTTACCTCTTGCCGTCGGAACGGGGGGAAACAGTGCGGGGAAGAAGGTATTTAAAGCTCCTCACTAACCTGTAAACTAACAGCAGACACATGCGGGGAGCAAGATGGAAGCGAGAGAGAGGAGGGAGGAAGTGACGTAGGGCAAAAAGCGCTAACTGGTGGGGGGGTTTCCATTCCCTGAGTTTAGCTTTGCAGGCAACACTTCCACTTTATCAATGAAATGTCAAACTATGTGGAAAGCTGAGCGCATATTTGGGGTTTGGGCTGCCCCAGATTTAACACATTTTAGATATTTAAATGTTTATACACGTATGTTATTATATTTATGTTCTAAAAAAACAACAACAACATTGTTAAAGGCTACAATTTAAACAAAGTGTTTGCAAGCACTTTACATTATTCAATGAATGTACCATACATATCCATTATTCATCCTGGCAAAACAGTTGCTGTTAATGTCATCTTCATGCGTCTGCTTCACTGTAAATCCGAGGCTTTCTTCGTTCTACATCTCCATGACTGAAAGCATTTTTTACTTTAAAGCACATGCAGGTGCACAATGCAGACATTTTTGAGATAGAGCTAAGTGAACTGCTTTGAAGTGTTCATCTTGTATTTGTGTATTTTCAGTGCTACAATCTTTTAACTCTGAGGAAGATGCGACATAAAACGTGCAATCTAGCACAGGAGTCGCCCTAATAGGCACTGTAATAAACACCAGCCTTTGTAACATTTTCAGGCCAATATTTAATTGAACTCTCTATATAAGATAGGTATGACACAAGTATTTATAATACCTTGTTAGTTTGTGTTGTCTGGTAACACTGCGGATAGAATAAAACACAGAGGCTGAGGCTGCAGCTGATAATTCCTTTAGATGGATGTAATGGGTTGTGGAAATATAGTCACCCAGGCACCTGTGGAGGAAGAGCAAAAATATTTTTGATTATAAACCTTACTAAGTGTATACTGATGATGATATATTTGCAGTTTACTCTATGCATATGCATGATAATGCCAGAGCCCATTTACCAGATAAACTTATTTTAAGATGAACAGGTACATTAGAGGGAAGACTATGTATTTGATATGGTTATGCAAATGTTGTAATTTGACATTAATTGCATCTTCATCAAAATAATGTTTTTGTATATGCAAAAACACCATATGCACCCAAATAGTTTTTAAATGTGTTAATTAGACAATTTCATTATTTTATAAATGTTTCATTATAACAAATAAGTCAAATGTCCATCTAAATGTGCAGATACACTTGTCCAATCAGAAAACCTTCACTGTATGACCCTTTCACCTTCAATGATCTAAGTACAGTTTGCTGCGGTCAAAGTAATACAGTTTAGGTGAAAAAGTAGGAAAAGTAAGTGTGTGCTGTGCCAGTTGGATCAAACAGGGGAATATGATATCGATGTGTGCCCTCTCTTTGAATTCAGAGGATATTTCACCTCAGATCAGCTTTACTCCAATAGATCGGGTACTCGGGTGTGTGTGTGTGTGTGTGTGTGTGTGTGTGTGTGTGTGTGTGTGGTGTGTGTGTGTGTGTGTGTGTGTGTGTGTGTGTGTGTGTGTGTGTGTGTGTGTGTGTGTGTGTGTGTGTGTGTGTGTGTGTGTGTGTGTGTGTGTCTTGTGACTGCATTGCATTTGGTCTATTGAGTGTATCTGTAAAGATGTGTGTCTGTGTGATGTTGAACATTATAACTTAAAACATGTATAGAAGCATTTCCTCTGATAGACTGAATTTAAACCTAACAGTGATGTCACAACATCAGCATGAAAATAATTGTATATACACACATATGCACCACATGGTGCATATGTGTGTATATACAATTATGTAAAAACCACACACTACAAAACGAATAATGTATGGCTTGATATCCAACATTATATATTAATATTTATAATAATAATTATAGAGGTGTGATAAGTAAACGTTTGCTTTGTGTATTGTTTTGTCTTTTACAAACTTGAATAAGAAGCACCTATCACTCCGTACAACCTTGAAGACATAAAACATATGTCATGTTTTTAAATGTAACCAACAGATGTTAGACAATATACAGACACCATCAACTAATATGTCTTTATAAATAGAATATATAATAAAAACAATATTTAGTATCTTTTTCCTGCTGTTCCTCCTGCAGTCCACCTCAGTCTCTGTTGGTGTGGCCCTTGGTCTCGCCTCTGCATGTGATTCATGTGATACACACGGATCGCATGCCGCAGACCCTCAGACGGACCGGGTCGGTGACACTCGGGTTTTGTCGGAGCAGCAGCAGGCAGGGATTGCGTTGAACCAGCTAAGTGCTTTCTTGGTACCCCGTGGCACGGAAACACCCTCGGATCTCAGAGGGGGAACTTAAACACTTTAGAGGTGGTTTACCACACATGCGAGAGCTGTGTTGCAAGTGTCGGCTCAAGACGAGAAAATATAATCGCCTGGTCTTTATTCAGTTATGTGGATTTTTTTTCTGATAGTGTCAGACACTTTCGCTTAATTTGAACCGTTTTGGCTCCGAAACTTCACTTTTATTAGAGTGAAATGCACTTGCTCAATTTTTTAAACAGTTTTCTATACATTTTTAACTCGAACAAGAATGAAACCATTCTTTGGAATCAAACTGAAGGTCTGATGTTGACTTGATAAAATAAATACAAATAAAAAGGTTAGCCACTCAAGACGTCGCTGGGCTTTCAAATAAGGTCTGAATAATAAAGGATAATGTAGAGGCGTGTAATAACTTGTGTAATGTCCATAAGGTGTTTCTTTTTAAAGAGGCACATCCATTTTTTTCGATGAATCCATGATTTTTGTTAACACTTCTTAAATCATTGCACAAACCGTACGGCCTATTGATAAATGGCTTCAAATGTATCATAGCAAACGATACAAACTTGTTCCAACAATGACTCCTCTACATTTGGAAACGACACTGATTTATTCACCTATGTTTAAATATATGTTTGAAACATTAAATTGAATAATTCAATTAAAAATAATAATTTTTTTAAAGTTTCTATCAGATCATTTTTTTTCCATTGAAAAAACAATAATCAATACTGAGTTAGGCTATTGACTTATTTTAGTGCACTTATACTTTCTAAAAAAAAGAAAATGCAGAAGCGATGAATAAAATACAGCCTTCAATCATCTAAATGAAAAATAACACTTACTGTTCACAAAACATTTAGATAATATTGGTTTCACCCTAAGAACTTATTAATTTTACAACAGAACAATTACCCTGCATACAAACAAATACTCATTTATAGGGGCCAGAAGAATTAGAGCTTGATGACAAAGCACTTACACTTTACATCAAACTCTTTATTAAAAATGGATAGGGAGGTTAGTGAGTTGATGGTTGTGACAGCTGCAACAGTTTTTCACTTTTATGGGCCGTCAAGTGTTTTAATTGTGAGACTCTTTCACCACTAGATGGCGTTGGTCCAATGGGAACCTCAGAAGGTGACTGACACCTGAACAACTTGTGTCAGCATAAGCAGCTTCAGGTAAATATGTTTTATTTGAAGTATAAAAGTATTTTTTACGCCTAGTGCATCTATACAAAACTGGGCTTATGTTTTTAGATACAAAAAAGTAAACTTTACATAAGTTTGGTAAAGTTTAAAATATATGTATCATCTGATTTAAGTCAGCAAAATGCAATCATTTAGTAAATGCGTTTGCTTTGTTTGAATTGTTTTCGCTATTTAAAGCAACTCTTGATGTTTCACCTAACAATAAAAGGAAACTACGTTAAAATAATTTTCGGCCAACTAAGTTAATAACAGTTTTAAAGGCAGATCTGAACGCAGCAAGATGGCGTTAAAAATAATATCAATATACAACATAATCTATAATCTTACTTTTTTTTTTACCTCGCTTTTATTTCTTTCTAAACTCAGTTTACTCATCTCTGTAAATTAACCATGAACCGAATAATAATGTTAATTCAACAAACATCACTTTACATTAGGTTGATTAAAGGTCAATTAGGTAGATATATTACGTGTTTCAATGTTTTTAATGGCATCTTTTGTTTATTTTTTTTATAGTTCACATTTTGTTATTTTATGTGATTAACCTGTATAACATGTATTTTATGTTTTTAGACACTCATTTCAAATATTCGTTTCATTTTCCTAACTCCATGAAATAAAGAAAGATGATTACAAATGTACACTGTGCTCCAGACGCACGGCAGAGGCCTTCTATATCTGGGGCGTGCATGCTCTGCGTGACCCATGACTGATGCGAGTTAACAGCTGACTCTTTTCCATTACAAATGGCTTGCGGATAATCTAGATAACTACCGGATCACGCAAACTGAGCTGCCTGGATACGGTGCACCAGTCTGCGGCACTATTTCACAAGGCAGTCATGGTAAAAAAAAAAAGAGAAACAAAATCACCAAATAAATCTATTTTATTTTAGCGGACACATTTTTTTATTCCAAGTATTTTTTTATATATTATTTCTGCATATTAGAACAAAATTGCATGTGATTCCTTAATGTAACACACCAGTAACTAAGCTTAAATAAATACAACGGTTGTCAAGATATCCACTTCGATTTTAGCAATAACCAGTAATTACACTTTCTGAAAAATCTGTTATATCTTCCAACATCTATTTTTGCGCAAAACACTGACTGCGGTAGAATAAAAGCTTCAGATTAATGCGGACTACAGGCCACCGTGAATGACCACTAAAAAGGATGGAGGCCACACCAAACTTTTTTTTTAAACCACTCAGTTAATTTTCAAAGACCTTTTGTTTTGTGTTATTTAATTTTTTCTCTCTCTTTTCATTTGCCTCGGTGACGTTTCCTGTCCATGTGACCAGGGCGGCGGTATAAATATCGGGAGAAGATCCGCCCCCTCTGTTATTCAGGTTTGGCCCCGTTTGCAGGTTTTCCCGGCACATTTCCCTTGCCTGATATCGGGACCGTTTGTTACAGTGGGCGATACAAAAAAAACCTGAAAACATATGGAAATAGCGAGAAAACAGGGGGACAGCTCTCACCGACGGCGACACGTGGTCCTCTCCTCTCCCCCTCCTCATATGAGTTTTTGAAGAGGGAGGGCATCTCATCGTCTTCCTCATCTGGCGTCGGAGCGCACAACCGTGTGTGAGCCATG